TCTGATTTCGTACTTGCTGAAAATTTATGCTCCTGCCCAAGGATTTTCTAACAGGTTATATGAATACTACTCAGCAGAGCTAACTGGAAAGAGGGAAGGTAAAAGAATGGCAGTGTTAATACTAATTGATGACTTGTTAGAAAGACCATGGCAAATAAGCTTCAGGGCTTACTTCATAAGGGTAAGGACTCATCTAGTAAGTCAAGGAGGTAATCAAAATGAAGAAAATCCAGTTTACAAGTGTAAGTAGTTTTCAGGGCCTTTTGGCATTCATATACAACATTTTCCACATCTCTCCTAAATAATTTTGATAAACTTGTTCGTCAAAAAGTGGGATCACTGTCTAAACTTGAAGCATACAGATCCACTTTTCAGTTATGGTATTTTTGTGGTTGTTCACAAATATTCCACTAGTTAGGCTGAAGGGGAAAACTATGCCCGTTGCACTGTTTTTCAGCATTAATGTTTTTTAAGATGCTGAGTCAGCTTTCTGTTTTCTGCTCTTGCAAACATGGTGGATGTTCTCAAAACCCACGGGCCTTCCTGTTCGAAGTGCGGCACGCACCGACACCACCGAGTAACACAGAGGATGAGAAGGCAGTGATCCTCCGGGTGCGCAGGGACAGTGGCGTGTGACAGGAAGCAGAGTGGCTCTGATGGGCAGACTAGCCCGGTTTTCCACAAAAAGGCTAAAACTACAAAGACTGTGCTGAGGCCTGAATGTGTTGAGCCCAACCGCCAATCTAAGAGAAGGCTGGCTATTAAGAGATGGAAGCGTTTTGAAATGGGAGGAGATAAGAGAAAGCCCATGGATCCAGTTCTAAACTTCCTATTTTGTTTTATTATGTGACAATAAAATCTCGAGGATAAGAAAAATGACGAATCATGAAATAAAGGAAACAGACGTGCCAAGAACCCAAACAAACTGCTCATCTCATATTTCAGGTTTCCTAACGACCGTATAGTGTCATTCTGGTTTTGCTAAGCACTTGGAACCAAGTAACGGAAGGGTCTTAGTAACTGGAAGTGAAGAGCTCATTCTCAGAAACTGAACCGGAGAATAAGACTACAGGCGTTTATTTCGACAAGTTATTCCACTTTCTACTTCCTGTTTTATTTAGGCAGCTCATCATGACCATTTCAGGTAACAATGCAGAAGTTAAAAACCCAACTTCCTCTTTATAAAGCGATAAAAACGTCAGAAGTTAGTTATGAAAATGGTTGATCTTACTAGCTTTTATAGAAATATTTGCAAGAAAATTAGAGACCATCATCATCAAATTCACCTCTGTGTTCACTGCTTTCAGATAATGTAACAAAAATAAAAAAGCTATATGGGCATTATGACATATATCCCTAAAAAAAAAAAAAAAAAAAAAAAAAAAAAAAAAAAGGCCCCCAAATCAAATGCAGTTGAGGTCTCCGTTAAGAACAGAAAAAATGGAAACTTTATAGAGTTCCTTCAAGGAAGAATCAATATAAATTAAGGCTAAAAATTTTTAAAAATGTTTGTAATAGTGCCTTGGTTGTGAAATTTTATAGGATAAGAATCTCATTTAAGAGTTATTTATGTTGCCCTAACTGGTTTGGCTTAGGCTAGGGGTGTCGAACTCAATCAGAGAAGGGGCCAAAATCTAAAACCCAGCCTAAATCGAGGGCCGAATGGTTTACTGAACAGTCATAAACTGTCATTGTGATGGAAACGCAGCGGAGTGCAGTGATGACAGCGCGGTGCGGGCCACATTGCAAGGCCTGGCGGGACGGATTTGGCCCTCGGGCCTTGTGTTTGACACATGTGGCTTAGGGGATAGAGAGTTGGCCTGCAGACTCAAGGGTCCCGGGTTTGATTCCGGTCAAGGGCACGTACTTTGGTTTCGGGCACATCCCCAGTGTGGGTTGTGCAGGAGGCAGCTGATTGATGTTTCTCTCTGATGTTTTTGACTCTCTTTCCCCTCTCCCTTCCTTTTCTTTAAAAAAAAAAAAAATAAATATATATATATATATATTTATTTATTTTTTTAAAGTTACTTATGTTTCTTAATGCTAAAATATTCATGTCAACAAGTCTTGTTAGAAAAGTATTTCTTAATTCTTGAATTCAGTTTAAAGAACGCAGAAGCCCGGAAAAGGGGGCAAGTAGGGTATGAAGCTGAAGAGAACTGAAGAAATCTGACAAGCCAAAGCCCTCCCTTCTTACTTCCAGATCCACAACAGAGAAATACTATCAGTTTCATCTCGTTTGTGAATAAGAATCTAACAAAATATCAGAAATCTCAAATCATATGGATTTATTGAGATATATTACTATAGCAGTTATTCTTAATTATCCACACTGATGAAGACAATGTGGTTAATTTAAAAACTGTTAACTAAACGTGAAATCCGTATTTTTTTTGGGCAGATTTACTTTACTAATTTTGATTTCCTTACAATGTCATTATTAAAATTAAGCAACAAATCAGGTGTGCTGGGAGATGAGGTCAGATCTATTATTATAAAATCAATACTATGAATGTTATTAAACACTGACAATATTCAAAGATATTTTAATTTGCACTTCGAAATACAAAAAGGCATTCTAACTCAGTGTCAAAGACAAAAACCTGACAGCACTGGTAAATATAGTATTGTTTGCGCAGAATAAACTTCAAAGTTTATTGTTAAATACTTAGAGATATTTTGTTGTAACAATATTTTTGCTTAAAATAAGTGACCCATTAGTCGGACTAAAAAATATTTTGCTATCCTATGATTTTCACTGTAATTTAATTTCATTTGAATCTTAACTGTTTGCCTTAGAAAAAGCACATATTATAGTTTTCTCTCCAGCGCAAGTTCATATAAAATGCTTCCTCCTTTCCCCAAACTTACACGTTTATGGGAGTTTCCAAAAAAGAGAAAATTTAATGCTTAAGTCCTGTTCAATGGCTTGTGAGTGTTTAGCACATTCCTCAGGATTTCAAAATGGCATGTTATATGTAGGTATACTGTATCAAATTATTCTGTTCAGAGGACTCCTGGGGCATACACAGTCCCCTCCATAACCCCAATCTTTGTTATTGGGGAAAAAAAGAAAAGAGAAAGAGCTGAAATACACTTACAAAGCACTCAAGCACGCACATTTTGTAAGCCACTATAGGAAACAAAAGACATAATTCTTGTCCTAAAGTGAGTCACCTGCCCTAGCCGGTTTGACTCAGTGGACAGAGACTTCAGCCTGAGGGGGCTTGCAGGGACGTGCAAGGAGACAGCCCATCCAAGCATGACTTTTCTCTCATCATTGATGTTCCTATCTCTCTCTCCCTCTCCTTTCCTCTCTGAAATAGAAACATATATACACATATATAAAGAAAGTTGTTAAAAAGACAAAGTTGGCCACCCAATGAAATAATTCTACTCTCCACAGGCCCTCAAATCTCCCAGTTACTGAAAAGCCCGGCAGGCTGTTAGGATGCGCAGCTGTCAGAAAAAGAGAAAAGAAAGTAAGTTATTCCACCTAACACAGCCTTGTAGATAAGACACTTTTGAAGGAAGAAGTACACAAATTACACTCCGGGAAACCATAAGCCATCATCAGACAGCGCAGCGGGGCGTCCGAGGAGGCTCGGTGCTTTTGCCCAGACTCGAATGCGTCTGTCCTAGTAAAACCTTTCTGGAGGTTCAAAACAAAACAAAACAAAACAAAACACCCTTGGCGAATCTTAATCGGTTAACAAGAAACTGAAAAAAACCACTTTTCAATTGTTATCGTTAAGGGGATGGAAGACGCAAAGGGGGGTAGACACAGGCAATCCAGGGAGGGTCCGCCGGGAAGAGCGGGGCTCCCAGGCTGCACCCCAGGGTCCGGGGCTCCCCCGGCAGCCCGGCTTACAGGGCGTGGGGACCTCCCCGTGGAGGAGCCGTGACAGCAAAATCCCTTCCCGGGGAAGGAGGGGCGAGAGGGAAGTGAGAGGCCACCCAGACCAGGAAGTGACTCGCCCTCCACCAGCCTCAATCATCCTTCAAGATGGGGGTGGGGGGGACGGGGGTGAGCGCCCCAACACTCAGCTCCAGGCGGGACGGCTGCTGCTTCCTCCTGGGTCGCGACATCACCATCGCCCCCTCTCCTAATCGCAGAGAGAAGAGCTCACAGCCACGATCCCATGAAGGAAAAGCCTCTTTTCTCGCAGGAAGAGGCCAGCGGGCTGTGCCCGGGGCCGGGGAGGAGATGAGTTTGAGAAATGGGGAACTGGGGGCCCCCGGGGCGCCAGGGGCGCGACCCTCCGGAGGAAAGCGTCCCGCACGAACCGCGGCAGGCGGACGCCGGCGGGGCCTGAGCGGCTTCTGTCTCCCGGGGGGCCTTCCCGGGCTCCCCGCGGCGGCCGGGCCGGGCCCCCGACCCCTGGCGCGGGCGGAGGTGAGAGAGAGAGGCGCGCCCCTTACCTTCTCCTCATCCGACACCCGATCCTCGAAGTCGGCCATCTTGGGCTGCTCTGGCCCAGCCCGGCGGGGCGCGGGGCATGCCGGGAAGGCAGCGGGGTGACGGCAGCGCCGCGGGGGCCGCCGGAAGCGCCCGCCCGGAAGCGCCGGCCGCGAGGGCGCCCAGGCGGCCACGGAGCGGCCGCGCCCGGAAGCCGCCTTTTAAGTCTAATCCCGTCCTCACCGGGTCCCATTCACTTCCCCGTTCATCTCAGGGGCGCGGGGAGCGTGTTTCGACTGTGTTCTAGGCGCCCGGGCTCCATCCGATCCAACGGCACTCGCTGTTCCTCTAGGTTTTCCCTGGACCAGGGGTTGCCATGGCAGCCGAGTCCAAAGGGCCGAGTGCCGCCCGGCCCCTGTTCGGCCCGTAGCTCTGCAAAGCCCAGGAAACGGGGGTGAAGGGCGGCGACCCTCACTCGTATGGAAGCGAAATCACACTTCGCTCCGGGGTCACCTCAGTGCAGTTTCTCCAGAGGAGGTGCCGCTCGCCGCCCCGGCCGCCCTCGGGAGGCACAGGTAGCCGCCCCCTCTGTCCAGGGACGCTCCTTCACCTTCCAAACCCCCGCCCCCGGCCCCCGAGGCACTCAGCCTCCCCGGAGGCCCGGGCCAGGCCCGCCACTATCCCAGGATTCCCGGCGCCGGCTTCCTGCCCGGCTTCCCTCCCCGCGCCGGCGCCCGGGCAGCGCCAAGATGGCGGACGGCGACGCGCCGGGTGCTGCCGCCGCGGCCGCGGCCTCTCCGCAGGCGTCCGCCCCCGGCCCGAGCCCGCCGCCGGGCTGGAGGGAGCGGCTGCGGGCCGGGCTGGTGGGCACGTGGGCCTCGCTGTGGTTCGTGGTGGGGCTGGGGCTGCTGTACGCCCTGAGGGTCCCGCTGCGGCTGTGTGAGAACGTGGCCGCGGGTGAGAGGCCCGGGCTGCCCCGGGGCGCGTAGCGGGAGTGGCGGTGGGGGCCGGGGAGGGCCGGGCCGGGGCGGGGCGGGGGCAAAGGCCAAAGGGCAGAGGTCCCGGTCCCCGGAGGGCTGCGGGGAGGCGGCGGCCGCCGGCGCCTCCCGGGCTGGGGCCCGCCTCCCGCCGTCCGCGTCCCCGGGAGGAGCGGCCGCCCCGGCGGACAGGCCGGGCGCCTGCAGGCTCGGAGGCGGGGTGCAGGCACACAGCCCGCCGCCATTGGCGGGGTCCCCGGGAAACGCGGCCTCGGAGCCGCCCGCCCGCCGCTCAGCCCGCAGAGACGAGCGCTTCGCTGTTCGCATAAGTGAGCGCCCCGGGGTGCCGGCCGGCCACCCCCGTTTCACACCAGTTCTGCCAGGACAAAGTTCCCGTGAGATTTTTTACTTTGATTTTTTTTGTCTTTAGCAAACGAGAGCAGTGCGGGCAGTGCAGGGACAGCCGCACTCGGCGGCGGGCCGTGTCCACGGCGGCGGGGAGCTCGCCACGTGGCCCGGAGCGGAGCCCGGGCCGCCGGCCGCGCCCGGCGCATCGCCTCGCCTCGCCTCCCAGCCCCGCCCCGCGGCCCGGGGACAGAGGGGGCTTCTCCGTTAGGTCCTGGCTGTTGCATCAAATACTCCCCGCCTCCCCCCCCCCCCCCTTTCTGTCCCATGAGATGGCACCGATTACTGAGAGAATGCTCTGAAATAGTTTTGATTTTTTTTTTTAGAACCTAGTTATGTAAATACAGATATAACGAACACAAAAACAAGCTGAATAACGGTCTTCCTGCCCTGGTGGATGGAGCACTTTGGGCGGTCTCTGTAACAGGTTAAGGGAGTGCTTACTGGTGGTGATTAACACTCAGTGAAATGTGTGTTTTTTTCCACTGAGGGTATCATTTATTTTTCTACGTGTTAACGAGGTACACCATTTAGGTGAGACTAGTTAAGTGTTATGCATTTTTGTTTATAAAATCCGAAGCATTTAGGAGACAGTTATTTGGGAGAGTCTGGTCCAAACTTTCAGCGAGTCGGGCGCAGGGAGGGGCTATTTTCCCTGCTCTAACCATTGGAGCTACCTGGCCAAGGAAAGGCGAGTTTTTTTTTGAGGATAGCATACAATGGGACGTTGAAGTAGCTTTTTAAGAGATTACAACTTTCTCAAATGAATGTCACACTAGATATTAACCCACTTACGTTCCCCCACTTGTAAAGACACCTGCATATTTATAACTTGAATACTTTGAATTTGCATTTTTTTTTAAGCTTTGATTTTTTTTTCTCCTTTTGGCAGTGACAGTATTTTTAAATTCACTGACGTCCAAATTCTATGTGGCACTTACAGGGACATGTTCTTTGATATCAGGACTAATATTTGTAAGTAGTTTCCATTTCCTTCATGCTTTTGTATTTCTCTAAAGATCACAACTCTTTACCATATAGTTACAGTAATTATAGATACTTGTAGATCAGCATCCTCAAAATGTGGTCAGCATTTTGGAAAAGCCACTGCATCTCCTCTCCACTGTTCGAGATTGACAGGATGCAGTTGTGTATAAAAGGCTTACATCGTAGGGGCTTGAGAGGTGAGTTACATTTAAATGCTTGCAGGGCCCATCTTGGTAACAAAAGTGAGTGAAATGGACACAGTGTAAGTAAGCACTGAATTCTTACTGAGGGCTGGGTAAACTGGACAATGCATGCTACTTCTAGAAAGGGCTGATTGTTGCCATGTAGACTTGTGGATCATTATTACCAGATTTTCCAGTTTTTCAAATTATCCCAAGAGAACCTGGATACACAAGTTTTTTGTTTTAAAAAAAATATTTTATTTATTGTTTACAGAGAGGAAGGGAGAGGGATAGAGTTAGAAACATCGATGAGAGAAATATTCATCAGCTGCCTCCTGCACACCCCTTACTGGGGATGTGCCTGCAACCAAGGTACATGCCCTTGACTAGAATCAAATCTGGGACCCTTCAGTCTGCAGTCCGATGCTCTATCCACTGAGCCAAACAGTTTTGGGCATGGATACACAAGTTTTTATATAAAATCTTAAAATATGTTAATGTTGGCAACATTGGACAAACTAAGAATTTATCTGCATCTTGAATTCCGCCTATAGGCTGCCAGTTATCTTTGGAGTGTTTAAGAGTGGGGTTTGAGTTGGTTAACCTCACTTTAGTGGTGTGACTTAGGGCACATTCATTAGCTTTTCTATCTCCCGGTTTTCTGAGGTGTAAACTGGGAGCTAATCACAGTATCTACTTCATAGGATTATGATGGCTAATGAGGTAAGGCGTGTAAAAGTTAGTAACAAACTGGTAGCTCATACGGAGTGAACATTTAATAATTTTGGGTTGTTACTCTGAGAAGTACTACAATACAGAAGCCAATTTAACTTTAATTCAGCTTTTTCTTGTCTTATTTCATCCAGCTTGCATTTTTAATTAAAAAATTTGAAAGTCTATAATTTTTGTTAACATCCCTAGTGATGGAAGGAACTTTGGAAAAATACTGCTACACATAAAAATCTTAGGGAGTAATATGGTGTGCATGGCCAAGGAATTTTTCTGTACTTTTTTCTCATCTGTAGGTGGTGCTCTCCAGCTATAATAGAAATAACAGCATTTGTATTGGAGTGTTTTGGTTTTGTCTTTTTTATTAGGGCTAACACTTGACCATTTTGTTAAAGTGAAATGCCAGACAAGAAAGAGATTTTTCTCTTAAAAAAATGTATTGAGGAATCCATAATGAAAACTATGAGTTAATATAAGCCTCAAATTGTATTGATTTATAAAGCCCATTCATAATTAAGCATATTTAGTCAATACGAGTCAAAGAAAATAAATGATCTTCAGACAGCTGTGGTAATAGAAATAGCATTGGTTTTAGAACTAGAAGATGTAGTTTTAAGTCTTGATTCTGCCACTTACTGGCTGACACTGGGACAAATCACATAAATTCTGGGTCTTAATCTATTGATTTATAAGAGGAGACATATATATGTATATAATCTTTTAAATTTTATTTATTGAATTTTAGAGGAAAAGAGAAAGAAGCATCCATTTGTTGCTCCACTTATTTATGCATTCATTGCTTGATTCTTGCATGTGCCCTGACTAGGGATTGAACCTGCAAATTGACATATGCTCTAACCCAGTGGTCAGCAAACTCGTTAGTCAACAGAGTGGCAAAACACGGTTTGCAAACTGCCGACCACTATTTTAACCAATTGAGCTACCCAGCCAGGGATGCATACTATCTTTTTAAACCTAAGTTTTGTTTTGTTTTGTTACTCCTTACCTGAGGATATTACTCATTGATTTTTAGAGACAATGGAAGGAAAGTGGAGAGACAGAAACGTCAGTGTGAGAGAGACACAGCGATTGGTTGCCTCCTGCATGTCCAACAAGGGCTGGGGATCGAACTTGCAACTGAGGTACGTGCCCTTCACTGGAACTGAACCAGGGACCCTTCAGTCTGCAGACTGACGCTCGATCCACTGAGTCAAACTGGCTAGCGCTGGCTAGGGCTAAAGCAAAGTTTTAAAATTAGGAAACATTTTAAAGGGTAAATTTTGTCATTACTCTTGCAAAATTAATGAGTTTTCATTAGCAAAGGTTATGTTTATAATTTCTTTCACCACCTGTACTTACCTCCCCCCCCACACACACACACATATACACACACTGTGGTATGTTTCAGAGGCCGTCTGTGTAACGGTTAATACCTCTAAAGTCATGTAAACCTGAGTAAAAATCCTAGCTCTACAAAGTATGGATGGTATGAACCAGAGCTAGTTATTTAAAGCTGGAATAGATGTTCTTTCTGAAATCAGTTGTGAGAATTAAATGACATAATGCATGTAAAGAACTTGGCACAATGTTTGGTAAGTACTACCAATTATTATTGCTCCTTTGTGGTAAAAGTTGACTCAAAACGTAAATAAAAACCACTAACATATTAACTAATTAAAAAAACTGCCAACACTTCATATAATGAAGGACAGTTTGTCATTGGCCTTTATGATTAATGTCCCTGACTGACCTAATGTAAATCTTGTCTTTTCTGTCACATGAATAACTTCTGCTTTATGATTTCTTCTTCTGGTTGGTTTATTTATTTTTATTTTTTATTTTTTTAAAAATATATTTTATTGATTTTCTTACAGAGAGGAAGGGAGAGAGATAGAGAGCTAGAAACATTGATGAGAGAGAAACATCAACCAGCTGCTGCTTGCACACACCCCCACCGGGGATGTGCCCGCAACCAATGTACATGCCCTTGGCTGGAATCGAACCTGGGACCCTTCAGTCCACAGACCGACGCTCTACCGCTGAGCCAAACCAGCTTTGGCCTTCTTCTGGTTGTTTTAAAGAAGTTTCACCCCATTACTTAGTAAAAGAAGCCAATCTGGGGCCATATTTGTTGATGATTAACTGCCTGCTAACTCAGTAAAAGAAAGCAGGAAAAGAAGCCATTCTAGACTGAGCATAAAACGCTACTGGCATGATAGAAAAAATTCTGCGCCTTGATTTTCTTGCACTGTCCTATATATGTTATAGCATTTGGTCAGTGGAGTAATTGGGGTGCATTGTACAAAACGACATCATACTTTTGGCATCTTTATAACATATTTGTTCTGTTGGTCACTGAAGCAAAAATTAACATTCCTGAAGGTTTTAGAACTGATACCTCTCCTCCCCCCGCTCCCCTCTCTCTCTCTCTGTCTCATAACAAAATAGTTTTTAAAGAGATTGTAGTCCTTAAGTAGTGTGGAAATGTTTGTTTATTCTTTAAGTAAAGTAATACATTTGTCTGCTACATGGTAGAGAATAGTCTATCAGTTGACTTTTTAAGGGAAGGTGGACCTTGGTTGTGGGCACATCCCCAATGGGGGATGTGCGGGAGGCAGCTGATCGATGATTCTCTCTCATTGATGTTTCTATTAGGTCTAGTAATAATTAATGTCGTTTTCTAATACTTTTTTTAAATCGAATTTATTTAAACAATACAACAAAATTTAATCAACAATATAGTTGCTGTTGTTTTCTACTACTTGTGCCCAACGCTCAGGAAGCATTTTAATCCCTCTGTTGTAAAATTCTTGTGATTTTGATGCAAAAAATTCGGTCAATGCATTTTTGAGGCATTCTTCATTATTAAATTTTTTTCCAAGAAGAAAGTTTTGCAAAGAACGAAACAAATGGTAATCGGAAGGGGCAATATCAGGAGAATATGCAGGTTGAGGGAGAACTTCCCATTCCAACTGGCGCAGTTTTTCAGCAGTGATTCTTGCAGTATGCGGTCGTGCGTTATCGTGGTGAAGAATTACACCCTTCCGATTAATCAGTGTGGGTTCTTTTTCTCTTAAAGCTTGGGCTAACCTTTCCAATTGGGCACTATACACTGCACTTGTAATGGTTTGGTTAGATGGTAAAAGTTCATAATGAAGAATTCCTTTAAAATTCCACCAAACACACAACATCACTTTTTTCGCATGCAAGTCAGGTTTTGGCGTGGGCTGCGGAGCCTCATTTTTGTCCAACTATTGAGGCCACCTTTTCAAATTAACATACAGCACCCATTCTTCATCTCTGGTAACAGTTTGCTCTAAAAACGGCAAACGGTTTTGACGAGAGAGGAGCGAACTGCAAATTGTGACTCTTTGATTACGGTTGTTGTCGGTCAACTCATGAGGAACCCATTTTCCAAACTTTTGGACTTTGCCAAGTGCACGCAATTGATTGGAAATTGTTTTTTGTGAACAATTTAAAGTTGTCGCAAGCTCTTGTTGGGTAATTTGAGGATTTTGCACCAAAAGAGCTTGAAGAGCTTCTTGATCAAAATTGGACACACGGCCTCGACCACTCTTGTCATCTAACGAAAAATTTCCCTCGCGAAATTTCTCAAACCAACGCTGGCATTTTCTGGCGCTAACTGCATCTTGACCAAGAGCACTACAGATGTTTTTTGCAGCCTCACTTGCTTTTCTTCCTAATTGGAACTCGTAAAGCATGCAGTGCCGAATATGCTCTTCATCCGCCATCTTCTTAGCCCTGGTTTTGCAACAAAAACCAAACCAAACACAAACTTTTTCAAGCAAAACTTGTTAATTGCACTTCACACGTTCTGTAGATACCACGTGTTTGAAGGTTATGTCAATACAAGTCAACGCCAAGCAAGATTTTAAACGAATGTTTAAAAACGACATTAATTATTACTAGACCCGATATCTCTCTATCCCTCTCTCTTCCTCTCTAAAAAAATCAATAAAATATATTTTAAAAATAAATAAAATGCTGAATTAAAGGAACATGTTGAGATAATGTTTTAATTTGAGCTCATATCTGCTCATTAGTTCTGTATTAAGTGAAAGATGTTTTCTGTTTGTCATAGATATTTGAATGGTGGTACTTCCATAAACATGGCACATCTTTTATTGAGCAAGTGTCTGTAAACCATTTGCGACCATTGATAGGAGGAACAGAAAGAAGCATGTCAGACCCAGCTTCTCTTTCCAGCAGCAGAGAAGGTGAAACCGGCAGACAGAATGTGTCAGGTGATTACTTATCTAATGTTTTCAGAGCTATATAGGTAGTCTTCAGAGCTGTACAGTTAGGATTGTGTTTGGCTGTGGGAGATAGAAACAACAGAGAAGTTTGTCTATCCGTGTAAATATCGATCTAGAGAGGGAGGATCATCAGAGGCATAGACTCCTATTTTGTTAGCCTGCCATCTCCAAACGCAGTTTTGCTTTGTGGTGTAAGACAGCCACTCTGGCTCCAGCAATCATATCTACAGTCCCGTTAGCAGGAAGGAGATTAGGCCAGTGGACAATCCTCATACTTGGTATTGCCTTGTTTTACTGGGCTCGGGGCAACGAATCCAATGATGACCAGTCTGAGTTGGTGTTGCTACCTTGACTCGAGCTAAAGTACTAGCAGTTTTACCCACCAGTGATTTTGTAACATTCGCTCAATTTTGCAGTACTGGCACTAGAGTGGAGTAAGTCAGGTGCCTGGGCACAAAATTTAAGCCCTCACTCTCAGCGTTGAGTTCAAGTCAACACATTTAAAAAGGCAAATAATGGCTGGGTAGCTCAGTTGGTTAGAATGTCATCCTCATACATCAAGGTTGTGAGTTCAATCTCCACAGTCGGGGCTCATACAGAGTCAACCAATAAATGCATAAATAAGTTGAATAGCAAGTTAATGTTTCTCCCTTCCTTCCTTCCTTCCTCTTTCTCTCTCACATAAAAATCAATTACAAAAATAAAAGGGCCCTGGCTAGTGTGGCTCAGTTGGCTGAGTATCTTCTCAGTTTGATTCCAAGTTCAATTCCTGGTCAAGGCACATGCCTGGGTGGTTGGCTCCACCCCTAGTAGGGGGAATGCAGGAGGCAGCTGATCGATGTTTCTCTCACATCTGTGTTTCTCTCCTTCCTTCCTCTCTCTCTCAAATCGATAAAACATTAAAAAGAAATAAAAGGGAGAAACTTAAAACCAAACAGATAATCACATTATAATATGGTAAGAGCTATAATTGAATTATGAAACAAATGCTGTGAAGACAGAAATAAGAGAATGACTAGATTTAACTGTATGCTCCGTGACAGTAGGGTGATCCATCCCCTATTTATCTTTGTGCTATCAGTGGCTAGCACTGTACTCAGCATACAGTGACTATACAGTAAACGTTGGTGAATTAAGGTTTAACTGCATTTGATTAAACTGTCTCACTTCCTCCCTTTTCTCCTTTGTTTTTTAGAATGCAAAGTGTGGAGAAACCCTTTAAACCTTTTCAGAGGAGCAGAATATAGGAGGTAATACATTTTGCTTTCAGTATAATTATAGCATTGGTTTTAGAGTAAAAGTATTATGGACACACTTGTTTTTATAACTTTATCATAGCTCTTTTAGTTGGAGATACTGATATATAAGATAAAATGATTAGCAGTTTAGTTGGCAGCATCTTGATAGTACTAATTATAATAGTGTTCACAATGCATAATAAGTATACATTTGACTCCCGATTTATGGCAGAAAGCCTTTTCAAAGAATTTATGAGATTAAGAGAAGTTATACTAATGTCAGTATATTCCTATGCATATGTGCTTGATTTCAAAATTTACTTGAGCATTCACTAGAAATACCAATTTGAATACGAATATAAACTTTATTTGTGCCATAGTAGAGGGTATTGTATTTTATATTGTATTTTATATTGCCGTTTTCTATGTGCTCTACTGTTTGCGTTTCTCTCCTGGTTTATACACTAAATGAGAAAACATCTTTTGAAACTTATGACCAAAGAGACTTTACTTTTATTTTGGGAAGGGCTGTGTTTTACCTGGAGATAGATTGGGCATGTTATTTAATTCATTGAACAAGAAACATTATGTCTCTGTTATGTATGGGCACTGTGTAAAATGATGGGGATACTAAATGATTACATAATAATTCCTGTGCTTAAGGACTTGATAGTGCAGGACAGTCGGTCCTGGGAAGTGAAAACTAGGCTTTTATGAGAGATGCCACTAGCCTGTAAGGGGTTCTGCAAAAGACAGGTCTTTGAATCTCTCACTGTGTTTATTAAAAAGTTTTTAGGCTATTCTTTGTTATATTTTCCTAGAGGCCTGGTGCACAAAATTTGTGTATGGGAGTGGAGGTCCCTTAGCCTAGCCTGCACCCTCTCGCAATTAGGGACCCCTCAGGGGATGTCCCAACTGCCGGTCTAAACTGGCTGTCAAATATTCCTCTGGTAATCCAGGTCCACTGGCTCCTAACCACTCACCTGCCTGCCTGATTGCCCCTAACTGCTCACCTGCCTGCCTCATCATCCCTAACTGCCTCGGCCTTGGCTTTCACCACTGTGGCTTTGTCTGGAAGGATGTCCGGAATTATGTTCGGAAAGTCATTCAGCTGTCTGGTCTAATTAGCATATTATGCTTTTATTATAGTGTCTATTTCTTGAAGGTTTTAAAGATAAATTTTTTACCTTAGTATCAGGAACACGTATGCTTCTTTGAATGATTAGTTTATCTTAATGTAAAAGTCTAAATTGCAATGATAATAATTGTGTGGTCATATTGTAGCTAGCCCTTAGCAAGCGTATACATTTCATGTTAGCCTCATTCCAGACTCCATTTTATGGCCCAATCCTAGTTTTTACTTTACTGAGTCTTTTTAATTTGCTTCTTGTTTATGTTATTGACTAGAGGCCCGGTACACGAATTCATGCACCAGTGGAGTCCCTTGGCCTGGCCTGCGGATCAGGCTGAAACTGGCTCTCAGACATCCCTCTAGGGGTCTTGGATTACAAGAGGTTGAGGGACCCCATCGAGGCTGGGGAGGGATGTGGTAGGTTGACCAGCCAGGGATAGACTGAGAGAGGGTTCCAGGGCGTGTCTTGCTCAGTCTGAATCAGCCGGACCCCAGCAGCAAGCTAACCTATTGGTCAGAGCATCTGCCCCTGGTGGTCAGTGCACATCAGAGTGAGCAGTTGAGCAGCCTTAGCATATCATTAGCATATTATATTTTGATTGGTTGAACAGCTGATCAGACAACTGGACACTTAACATATTAGGCTTTTATTACATAGAATATTGTACATATTTTTCATTGCTTTAACTCATTTTGGGAATAATGTAGTGTGTTAATTTTTTATGGTTTTTGAATATATAGCAAAACTGTTAAATGAATAAGGATTTTCTTTTCCTTTTTCTTTCTCTTTATGATAATTTCTTGCAGAATAGCTAAAAACATTACATAACAAGGCAATGCATACTACTAAATAACTTAACATCTTTACTAATATAAATAATACAATGTGCTTTTAAAATGCCTTTTCTTCAAATTGTAAAATGTATGTATATTCATTGTAGAAAATGGGAAGAAAATAAATAGATGTATGAAAAAGAAAGTAAAGACACCTCTTTTTACTACTGAGTAATATTGCTATTAGTATTTCCATCCAGTTTCTATTCTATATGCCTGTATAGAATCAAAACTTAAACATCACAATGTTTGAATTTCCCACAGAATTTCTTCAAAAACATGATTTTTAGTGCTTCTATTTACCATACCTTCTCTATCTGGGTCCTAGATTATATTTCACTATTAACATTTACACTAGAGGGATATCTCTCTATATAAATATTTAACCACATATATGATTATCTCCTTAGGTTTGCTTTGTAGCACTGGGATTACTGAATCAAGGGGTGTGAACAGTTTTTTCCCCTTCCCTTTATTTTTTTTTTGATTATGGAAAATTTGAAAAATAAAAGTACAGAGGGTGGTATAATATACTATATACCCATCCCTTAGGTAGGTGTAAATATTTTTAAGACTATTGATACCTATTACCTAATTGATTTCTGGAACCAGAAATATAAATGCCAATTTACATGATGTCAGCAGTATGTGTGAGTCCATATTCCACCTACAATATATACATATTCGCCAATTTAATAGATGAAAGTAAAAATTATTTATTTTAATTTGGTATTTGTTAATGACTAATGAGATTGCATATTTTAAAATGTATTTACTAGCCAATCTGTTAACGTGCTACTTTGAGTCTCGGGAATATGAAAATTTAAATTTCTAATTTAGTAACATCTGAGAAAAGTTCCTCTTTTATGCTTTGAAAGCCCTTTACCATCTTGATACCTAGTAAAAATCCATCTGTGTTTTCTTTTTTCTTTGTACTTTTACTTTTAATCATTCTAACTCACTGAAAATTTACTGAAGTATACTTAAAAAGGTATATATCTGAAACAAATTGTCTTATCCCTTCAAATCCAATTTTGAAACAATGTGTGTTGGATAATCTAGCCTTTCCCTTTTTGTTTTTTTTAATGTTTTATTATACTCTGAGTAGTTTGTGTAGGTTACCTCTTTTGTTTTATTCATTAAAGTAAACTTTTAAAACATCCTGAATTTTTAACAATATTTGTTTGAATTTTAAATAGTATCTGTTATAGCAAATCAATGCTTTCTCATGTTTGATTTACATATTTTCTTGTGTTTTGGTAAAGACTCACTTGGGTGACTGGTAAAGAGCCACTTACATACTATGACATGAACTTGTCAGCTCAAGACCATCAGACCTTTTTCACCTGTGACTCAGACTCTTTACGTCCCTCAGACACAGGTATGTGTTGTCTCTGTTCATGGGATAAGCAGTGGTCATGAAAATTATTTTTAAAGCTCTTTATAGTTATTTATTATAATATACAAAGTTATTTGGCTTGGAGTTGTTTGCATTATTGACAAAAAAGCCAGATTAAATTGAAACTATGATTGTAAACTAGGCTGTTACACTACCTTTCCTTCTTATAAAGAATTTATTTCATTAAAATACTACTTCTATTATTACTTAAAAAAAATCTTTCAGATAAAATGCAGCAACTGCTAATGCAGAGAAAAATGTATCCAATTTGGTCTGGAAAATTAACACCTGCAATTATACATACATGAAAAGAGTAAGAGAAAAGTATAAACATTGGGGCGTGGCATGTAGAGAAAATTGGGACATGATTTTATTCCAGTCATAAGTTAGAGATGCATTTAAAGTGGTGGAAGATCATAGAAATGCCTGTTTAATTCTCGCTAAGCTCTTCTCTATAGAAAGAATATTGAAACTCTTAAATGTACAGCTTTGTAATTTGAATGCCCTTTCCCTCCTTATCTATCCTTCTGCTTCTTTCTATCCTTCAGGGTCCAAATTAAAAGTCAAATTCTCTAGAAAATCTTCTCTGGGATCTTCCTCCTTCTCTGCAGTTCTACAGTATAGTTCAAACCTCAATGAAACAATTTCAACCACAAACAATTCTTTGCTAATGTCATTGTGTTGCTTTAATGTTTGTCCTCCCTAATAGGGTGTGAAACTTTGGAAAGCAGGTACTATATTCCATCATCTTTGAATCCCTGTCATCTGGCACAGTGCCTGGCATACTGTAAATACAAATACTAATATTTATTATCTGATGAAAGTATGAATGAATGAGTGGTGTTGGTGTCACAGATGTTTTCAGCAATTTCACTAATAATAGTTAATACTTGTAAAGCACTTAGTATGCATCAAGCATTGTTCTAAGAAATTTATATAAATGTACCAATCATCTTATGAAGTAGGTACTATTATCAAACTTATTTTAAAAATAAAGAACCAGTGAGAACCCTAGTTGGTTTGGCTTAGTGGACAGAGTCTCAGCCTGTGGACTGAAGGGTCTTGGGTTTGATTCCAGTCAGGGGAACATGCCTGGTTGCAGGCTTGATCCCCAGAAGGGGGCATACAATTGGGAGCCGATAAATAATTCTCTCTCATCGTTGTTGTTTCTATCTCTTTCTCCCTCTCCCTTACTCTCTGAAGTCAATTAAAAAAAGAAAAAAAAGAATCAGGGGTAAAGGGGGAATCAAGCAACATGCCTAAGTCATTTAGCTATCTTCTATCTATAATAATAAGGGCTGTAATATGCTAATTAGACGGGACGTCATTCAGGATGACCTTCCGGACGAAACCAGGACTGTAATGGAAACCTAGCTCCTGGGTACCGGCTGTGGCCGGAGGGAAGCCTGGGTCTCAGGTGCCAGAGGGGGGCCAGGGCCGGCAGCCGAGGAAAGGAAGGCCTGCTCTTGCACGAATTTCATGCATCGGGCCTCTAGTTAAATGATAAAGCTAGGTTTCAAATTCAAGTCTGCCCCTTAACCATTAAACTACTGCCACATTGCCACTATCACTCACCACATTGCCAGGCAGAAGAAAATCACCAATAATAAGGGTCTGAAAAATAGCCAGTTTTCCAGCATTGAAGTGAGTTCATTGTGATACCTCTTTCCTGAATTAAATATATTAAGGGTGGGTGGTAGCAGGAAACCCTAGGGTATTCAGTATACTTACATTAAAGGGTTTAATTGTAAGTAGTTGAAAAAGCAGTTCTTTATGTTTATATGCTTAATGTTTACGTTAATGGCAAAAGTGTAGCAACCATGGCTGTCCACTAAAGCTGTGGTCCTAAAACGTTTTTGTTCACATACCTCCTAAGAGAATTTTGAGAAAATGGTGTATCTCTTTACACTTAAAAAAAAAAATTCCACCAAAGGGTGTTTATTTTTTTTAGAGAGAGAGGAAGAACGAGAGAGAGACAGAGAGGCAGAGAAAGAGAAACACCCATGTCTATCGATTATCTCCTATAGGGCATGGGATCCAAGGGACCCAACCTGAAACCTAGGTATGTGCCCTGACGGGGAATCACACCCGAAACCTTTAGGTTTATGGGCTGACGCTTCAGTGAACTGGGCCGTCTGGCCAGCAGGGCTCCCTTAACATATTTTTAAGTTGATATAAGGTTAAATAATTGCAAAGAATATGGTTTTTAATATAGTACAAATATAGAAAATTGAAAATAAAACTAGAATATCCTATATTTGAATGTATCTTAAGGAATGTAATGACTTGATACATACCATTATCTGTTGAAAAATACATGAGCAAATACCCTTTAACAGTAGTACATTTCCTAGAAGTCCTTTTTGTTCTGGAATTCATATCCATCCCAAGCTTCATATGATTTTAATATGATTATTTTGTGCTTGAGAGTCTTTTATCACGTGTATGAATTTTCCACAATAAATTTTTAGTATAAATGAAAAAATTAATTTTCTTTGACCATAAGGTTCTAAATGATATTGTGTATTACTTTAATTATATTTTTGTCAAATCCTTGGAGCTCCATATTTGGCTCTTTCAACTTTGGAAAATGGCCTCTGTATAACCTAAGTGGCTGGCTGAGTTCTCATTGTCAGTCCTATTAACCAAATCAGATTTACTTTCTGACAAAGTCTGACTTCATTTTTCAATTCAGATAAACATATTAACATGCATCCCATGACAGCCATCTCTCTTCTGAACATAGATTATAAGATAGAAAGATAGAGTCTCAGAATCTCATAGATTGCCTAGACCTTACCTCAGCCAAAGTAAGATTCCACTGCCTTTATTATTTCTTACTAATGCCCCCTTGGTCTTATTGTAAGGGGACCTTCCTGTAGGAGAATGCATTCTTTGATAGTAAGGGAAGAGGGATGCTGATAAATGGAACTGGTAAGCATTATCACTCCCTCCCCACTTTACAATATACTTGAATTCAGTGTATCTAAGGGCCAGAATAATGATGAGCTTCACTGTTAAAAAATAAGTTAAAGGTGGAACCCTATTATAGGTTCCTTGATTAAAAATGGCTACTCCCAAACCTGAACTTTGAATTGTCTGGTTTTTATACTGTAGAGCAATGCACCTTGGGAAGATTCAGGATAGGTGAGAAGTAAGACTTCTTTTTATAAAGTCGGAGAAAGGAATATATCTTTTGGGGAGTGAGAAAGTGGATGTTTGGGTAGGAATGGAAAACCTGCACAATGCACTGACCAATCAGAGGAACATTCTTCAGATAGATTAGTTATAGGAAAGAGTCATATAAAGTTAAGGGTTTAGAAACTGGTTTCTCTTAAAACCATGCATCCTGTTTTGGTCCTTGCAAAGGTTCATATACTTCTAGAGTTACACATACTCCCAGCTAAAGACCAAAATCAAGGGCAGACTTTACCTGTGAATGCTAATCCAGAAATGGACTGTTGGTTCTATATTGATCTTTTCAGACAAATGTGTATATATGTGTGATATGATAAATTTCTCTTGAATATTGTCATCAGAAATTACTACATTAGATTTTGTTCTTATCCTATTGGCTTATCTAAAACAGAGAACAAAGATCCTCAAGGCCAGCCAATAGTGATTTTGGATAACTCATTTTCTTGGTATTTTTCCCCCCCAACATTTAAAAACTGGGAAACTTAACATTAAAATTCAGATTTACACTTTAGAAATTTGGAAAATATGGCATACTTGGACCTGCATTTCCACTTGGCATTAATCAGTTAGACCTGAGCTTTGATTCTTCTTTAGACAGTGCATATGTTTTTAGTTCATTTATGTTCTTTACCTAGCCTTTTTAGGCATTAATATTTGTGACCCCTGATCTTGAGATAAATGCTAGTGTCTTTTCTGTTTATTAGCATGTTAGAATATTATTTAACTTGGAAATAAATAAATTTGATTGACTTGTTAACTGCTTGTGTTATTTTTAAGCATATCAAGAGATCTTAAAGAGGACAGGTGAATATTAAATCAGCAGTTTGCTTTAAATTATTCCTTAACCTTTTTTTTTTTTTAGAAGGAAATATGTATTTTTCTTTCTTTATACTTAATTTCCCCTTTGACTTAGAACTGCATTGGTTGTAAAGAATAATTTTGAGAAGCTGGATAGTGCAGTTGAAAACAATAAGAAAAAATGCTTAAAGGTGGATTTGACGACCTTACTAGAAATAAAAGACACCTAAGTGTAAATGAGATCATTTTCATGTATTAATAATGGCAAATATTATTCAGTGTTTGTAAGAAAGTATGGAAACAGTCACTCTCCTACACTGCCTGAAATAATTTTAAGTTAATGTAAATTTTATTGGGAGGAATTTTGGAGTATAAATTCAGAATCTTTTAAAAGATGCATACATTTTAACCATTCCACTTCTTGGTCAGGTATACAAAGGTAGATATTGAAATGTGTTTTTATAATATTTCTGTAAGAAAACTAGAGGCCCAGTGCAAAAAAATTTGATGTAATACAATTGTCCATCAAAAAAGAATTTGTTAAATAAATTGAGATATATTCTTAATATACTAGAATACCAAACTATTTAAAATGTTGGTGAAGCCAAAACAGGTTTGGCTCAGTGGATGGAGCCTCCGCCTGTGGACTGAGGGGTCCCAGATTCGATTCCGGTTGGGGGCGTGTGCATTGGTTGCGGGCACATCCCCCAGTGGATCGATGATTCTCTCTCATCGATGTTTCTGGCTCTCTGTCCCTCTCTCTTCCTCTCTGTAAAAAATCAATAAAATATATTAAAAAAAAATAAAATGTTGGTGAAGAGAGCCATACAGTATATTATACTCCATAGAGACAGTGCCAGGGCAGGTGTGGCTGAACAGGTACTCGGCAACTGTGTGTCCCTGAGGAAAAATAGTTAAATATGGCAGTCCCTGGCCAGGGTAGCTTAGTTGGTTGGAGCATCAGCCAATACACCAAAAGGTAGAGGTTCGATTCCCAGTCAGGACACACAGCCTGGTTGTGGGTTCGATCTCCAGTTGGCGTGCATGTGGGAGACAGCCAACTGATGTTTCTCTCTCCTTCTCTCCCTCCCTCTCCCCCTCCCTCTCCCCTTTTCCTTCTCCCCCTCCCCCTCTCCCTCTCCCTTCCCCTGTTCCTCTCCCTCTCTCTCTTTCTCTTTCTCTCTTGCCTTTTCTCCTCTCTCTCTCTCTAAATCAATTAAAAACTTTTTTGAAAATGGGCAAAGGAGATCTAAAAAGCCAAGAGGCAAAATGTCTTCGTATGCCTTCTTTGTGCAAACCTGCTAGGAAGAGCACAAGGAGGAAGTGCCCAAGTACTTCAGTCACCTCCTTAGAGTTTTCTGAGAAGTGCTCAGAGAGGTGGAAGACCACATCTGCTGAAGAGAAAGGAAAACTTGAAGACATGGCAAAGGTGGACAAGGCCCATTATGAAAGAGAAATGAGAACTTGTATTCTTTCTAAAGGGAAAACAAAAAGTAAATTCAAGGATCCCAATGCACCCGAGACCTCCTTCAGCCTTTTTCTTGTTCTGAGTATTGCTCCAAAATCAAAGGGAGCATGCTGGCCTATCCATGGTGACATTGCAGAGAAGCTGGGGAACATGAAATCACACTGCTGCAGGTGACCAGCAGCCTTATGGAAAGAAGGCTGCCAAGCTGAAGGAGAAATACGAGAAGGATACTACTGCATATCAAGCTAGAACAGAGCCTGATGAGACAAAAAGGGAGGGCTGAAAAAGAAAAAAACAAGAAAACGATGAAAAGGAAGAGGAGAATGATAAATAAGTTCTAACATAGTTTTTTTTTTTTCTCTTCTCTTTAAATCATTTACCTGCCCCCCTCTCCCATACACAAATCACTCTTTCTAAAGAGAAAAATTGAAATGTAAGGCTGTGTAAGCATTGTGTCTTTTTTTTGTATAGTTTACACACTACCAAATGTGTTTTTAGATAGTCCTATCCTGGTGATATTTTCAATAGCCACTAACCTTGCCCAGGACAGTATGGAGGGGTAAATTGCCATGGAAATTTAAAGCAGGTTCTTGTTGGTACACAGCACAAATTATATATGGGAATGGTAACTTTTTCATCGTCAGTTGTCTCTGATGCAGCTTATACAAAATCATTGTTCTGTTAACTGAATACCATTCTGTAATTGCAAAGAAATTGCAGCTGTTTTGTTGACATTCTGAATGCTTCTAAAAAAATTCAATTTTAAATTTAAAAATAAAATATTGGTAAAGATTCACAAAATTTGACTTGTGAGTATCATGTAACTTATAGAAGAGAACCCACCATAAAAAATGGCGAATCTAATATTTAATTTCATGTTGTATTTTAATGTTTCAGTAAAATGCTGTTCTTCACCTGGTTATTATCAGATGGGTGCTGATGTGCATCAGTCTGTCAAGTTGAGGAAGCATTAGCTGTCAGCTAGCTGGAGATATGTTTGATATTAGAAATGTATTTTTGTTACACAAGTAGAATATATTGTCTTATTTTCTAAGCCAAGACTAATATTTTGTTTCCAAAGGAAAACTCAAACATTTTCCACATTATTCTTTCTGGACAGTTGTGGGTTTTGTTCCAAAAACAACATTTATAGATTCTCTTTTTTTCTTATCAACCTTGAAATAGGCCAGATAGTTTCATGAGTCTACTTTATTTGTTTAATTTTTAAGAAACTTTACTTAGTGTGAAATTTTCATTTGGTACTGTAAATGATAGCTGATATTGTTATTTCAGAGATATTCTAATTCAGGTTTTTGTTGAATCTTTGTAGAAACTGACATTTTCCTTAAATGTACTATATTCTAAATTAATCCCCCCCCTTTGAATACAAAATGTAAATTCAGACATTCTTCCTAGATCGAATCATTGATTAGACAAAGACTTTATTTTTAACTCTTTTTATATATTTCTAGCAGTTCCAAAGAATCTTTTCAAAATTATAAAGTGCTAGAATATTTCATGTTGATTATAATATGTCACCCAGACTCAATTTTTATATGCACATAGTATAAAAATGTTCATGTATAATGATGTGATTAATTTGATTAAGTACCTTATGTGTTGTTATTAAAATAGACCAGAAAAACAGTATATTTCTCTTTATTATATGTGAAACTTCCAAATTTAATATAAATTTCTCATAAGGTTAATGTGAGCTAGCACCCCAATTTCTTGTTTCTTACATTTACTAAGAACATGTTATTTAAGCCTTTGTTTACCCTCTTAGCTCATTCTTCATGTGTTTTGCATAAAATTATTTATGTTTACCATCTCATCTACTTTTTGAAATATTTTTCCTACAGTTATGCAGAAGGCATGGAGGGAAAGAAATCCTTTATCTCGAATTAAAGCAGCCTACCAAGCTTTAGAATTAAACAATGAGTAAGTTTGAAATATATGGAAAATAAATTTGTTTTGAAGGAAACCCAAGCAAATGATATAATGTTTCCTTTTGTCTGTCCCTTATTTAGTCATAACAATCTCCTTTCTCTTTTTGCATACTAGAGACAAAATTTGCCATATTCACTGTATTTTGCTTCAGAAAGTAAACTTACCTAAGCATTAAGTAGAAATTATGTTAGAAATACTTTTTAAAATGAAGAGTGCTGATATAATTGGTGATAATACTTGATATTAAAAAGTACCAAAATACTATGCCACTTGTTTTAATTTTGTTTTTCACTTAAATCATTCATTTAAAGCATTCATTCAGCCCTGCGAACTTTAGTTACTAATGGGATGGGAGGCATAAGATGGGGATTCAAGATAGTAAAATGTGTCTCTAACTTAATTTTTTTCATGTTAACAAGCATTTTTAAATTTGTGTTAACTTTATATTTTGAAATGATGAAATATAAAATCATAAGTCAACTTAATATTTAAATGGGACAGATCAATGTATATTAATCTAATACTAAAATATGGCCCCAGTTGGGATTAATCGAGGTATGCTTCCTGAATAATGTGAACTTAGCACTGTCCCCTATATTCCTCCTCCTTCCCTCTCTCCCCAGATATATTATCCTTATTAAGAAGACCTTCCCAAAGCAGAAGAAAAATGGCAGTGTAGGGAATCCCAAAAGCAGTAAATCAACTTTATTGAAACTCTGGAAACTAATCAAAACTTTATAGCAACTTGGAGAATGCTTAATCAATTAAAAAAAAACCAACAGTTGAATTTCTGTAAGAGAGCTTTGTGGTATTTTAACTTACGCTGGCCCCATCCCTACTCGCTAGTTCCTTGGCCCCTTTGGAAACAACTCCCAGAAGAAGTAGAATGGACCTAATTCTCAAAGAATTGTGGTTGCTTTTTTGGACCTGTCTGTTGGCTCCCTGAAGGACCAGCCCAAGAGACTTGCCTTTATTTAGGATATTTTGGAACTGTCCCTGTACTGACACAGCTACATTGGGGGGAAGGGCATTTGGTAAAACATTTAAAGGCAAATACACTAATTTCTGCTGCCTGGGGCAAGGGGTAAAAGTTGGGGCAAACAATAGATAGACAAAGCTTTGGAGAAAAGCTGGAGAATGAGATACTTTGGAAAAAAAAGTTTTGAAAAGCTACCACATTTTTCCTGGAAATCTCAAAGGCTGCACAACTGCCCAAGGTACATGCTTAAGAAGACCCTAAATTCTCATGTTTTTCTAACTCTCAGCTTCTGTACAAACAGAAAGTGAAGGCTAAGGCAGAATTATAAACTGGCTGATTGAATGTTGAAGGCGTGCCCCAACACACACACACACAACCCATCTGCAAAGACTTGTTTTTGGTTCCAGTTGTTAAAGGCAATCTCTACCAAATTCCTGGCTGCCCACTACGCTGAAGGATTAGAGACTTCATTGGTCACACATGATAGAGAATATGAACTTAACAAAATTAGTTCAGAAAGTCACCAAAGAAACAACTACAGTAAACAATAACAACAAACTCTGGAGAGGAGAAGAACATTTCTAGAGTTTCCAGATTATAATATTCAAAATTCCCAGTTTTCAAGAAAAAAATTTCAAGACATGCAAAGAAGCAAAATATGCCCCATACACAGAAAAGAAAGGAAATGAATAGAAATTGTCCTTGAGGAAGCCCAGACTTTATACTTTGTAGACAGTCTTTTAATAAACTTTAATTTTTTAAAATGTGTTTTTAATTGATTTTAGAGAGAGACGAAGAGAGAGAAACTAATGTGAGAAACACCAATCGATTGCCTTCCACATGCATCCTAACCAGAGGTTAAATCACAATTTGGGTCTGTGCCCTGACTGACAATCAGACTGGCATCCTTACAGTGTGCAGGAGAATGCTCAACTGACTGAGCCATACCAGCCAAGTCTAAATCAACTACTTTAAATATGCTCAAAGAGGTAAAGGAAGCCATGTACACAGAACTAAAGGAAAGCAGAAGAATTATGTCTCACCATTAAAAAGTAGGTAGAGCCCTAACTGGTTTGGCTCAGTGGATAGAGCTTCGGCCTGCAGACTCAAGGGTCCCAGGTTTGATTCTGGTCAAGGGCATGTACCTTGGTTGCAGGCCCATCTCCAGTGAGGGGTGTGCAGGAGGCAGCTGGTCGATGTTTCTCATCGATGTTTCTAGCTCTCTATCCCTCTCTCCTCCTCGCTGTAAAAATAAATAAAATAAAATATATGTATATTAAAAAAAATGAAAAGTAAAAAGTAGGTAGAAAGAGCTAGAAATAAGTAAAAGGAATTAAATAGAAATTCTGGAGTTGAAAAATATGACCAAAATAAAAATCTTTCTACATGAATACAGCAACAGATTTGAGCAGGCAGAAAAAAAATCAGTAAACTGGATTTAGGTCAATTAAGATTACCTAGTCTGAGGAGAAATAAAAATAAAGGAATGAAGAAAATGAACAGAGCCTAAGAAACCTTTAGTACACAATTGGACATACCAATCTATCACTATTCATAGATGACATAATACATGCAGGATATTGTAAAGAATATACATACACACATCATTAGAGCTAATAACTAACAAAGTTGCAAGAGACAAGATCAACATATACAAATAAGTTGTATTTCTGTACACTAGCAATGAACTAACTGAAAAGGAAAATAAGAAAACCATTCCATTTACAATAGCATAAAAAACATTAACATACTTAAGAAGTTTACTTTAGCCCAGCTGGTGTGGTTCAGTGGTGAGCATGGGCCTATAAACGAGGAGGTCATGGTTCCATTCCTGGTCAGGGCACATGTCAAGATTGCAGCCTCGATCCCCAGTGGGAATCAAGGAGGTAGAAGACTTGTATACTGAAAACTAAAAAGTATTGTTGAAAGAAGTTAAAGACCTAAAAATGGAAAGGCATCCCATGTTCATGGATTGGAAGATTTAATATTTTTAAGATAGCAGTACTCCTCCAGTTGATCTACAAATTCAATGCAATTTCGATCAAAATGTCAGTTGCTATTTTTTGCAGAAAGGACAAGCTGATTATAAAATTCACTTAGAATTGCAAGAGATCTCAAATAGCCAAAACAGTCTTGTAAAAGAAGAATAAAGTTCGAGGACTTTCTTCCTGATTTCAAAACTTAATATGAAGCTAAAATAATTTATAAGGATAGATTACTAATTTAACCCAATATAAAGTAATGAAGTAGTCTCTGTTTAGTGAAATTATTATATACCTCAAATTAAGGTATTAGTTGAAGGATGCTGAAATGGTGTGATTTGCATTTTCCAAATGAAAGATCTGTCTTGTCCCCAGTGAAAAAGAACCTTTTTTAAAAAATATGTTTTTATTGATTTTAAAGAAGAAGGGAGAGGAGAAATATCAATAGATTGATCAGATGACTGCTTTCTACATGCCCCTTACTGGGGATCAAGCCTATAACCTGGGCATGAGCCCTGACCTGGAATCAAACCCATGACTTCTTGGTGCATGGAATGATGCTTAACCAAATGAGTCATATCAGCCAGGGCTTGTCCCCAATTTTTTTGTTGCTATCTTGCCATCACTTTTGTTCCATGCCCACCTTGTACTTTTATTAATAATTTCTCCCCTGTTGTAATGCAAATCATATATGTAACATTAAATTTTCTGGTAGCCACATTTAAAAAGTAAAAAATATATGCAATTAACTTGAAGAATATATTTTATTAGCTATATTCAACATATTAATATGTTTTAACATATATTCAACGTTAAAAATAAATTAAATATTTTATATTCTTTTAAGTCTTCAAAATTCAGTGTGCGTTTTGCACTGACCATACACTGACTGGTTGCATCCCAGTTTGGACTAGACACATTTCAAATGCTCAATAACTACGTGAGGCCAGTGGCCACAATACTGGACAGTCTGTACTTAGATAATCAGAACTGGGACGTGGTCTCTAGAAGAGAGATGAACTAGTTATTTCTGGGAATAGAAAATAAACTTTGTTTCTTTTTGTCCCCAAACCAGTTTGTTTATTTTATTATCCAGCTTTTGACCTAAAGGATATAAAGAGAAATCTGTGTTTTGGTGGGGTGAAGAAAAGGAAACTGGGAATCAGCATTGGTGTGAGGAAAGACTAGGCTGCAGATCATGGGATGTTTTGCTGCAGCACTGTTGTTGATAAGTCTGAGAGAGGACGGGGCAGCACAAAGAGGAAATATTCAGTGTAGTGAGAAAGTCTAGTCCTGAAATATGTTTCTGAGTCCAATTGTAAAGGTGCCTGATTGGCCATGGGATATTCTTGTCAAACGTCACACTTTCCTATACCTCCGTTATCCGTTTGATGAATATTACAAAGTACATAGTGATTAAGAGCAGGCATGACCACTAGAGTACATCATCCCTTGAACAACTGTTAGGTAATTTTTTATACATCATCTTTTCTCCCTCTTCCACAAAAGGAAAATACAGGATAACGGATCAGAATGAATATAGAAGTAAAAGAAAGTAAAGGGAGGGAAAGAAAGATAGGAAATGGAAAAATATGCAACTAAGACATAAAGGGTATACTATTAGTATGCCCCTAATAAATTACTGATGGAAGTTGTTTTTATTCTTAAAGAGATGGAAAATGTAGGGAAAGGCAGGGAAATATAACAGAACAAAGGGACATACCCAAGAGATTTGCTTTACTGTTTAAATTGTCTTGCTTGCTTTCTCTGTAGCTGTGCCTCTGCATATATTCTATTGGCTGAGGAAGAAGCAACAACTATTGTCGATGTTGAGAAGTTATTTAAGCAGGCACTCAAGGCAGGAGAAACGATTTATAGGCGGTCGCAGCAGTGTCAGCACCAAAGTCCTCAGCATGAAGCCCAACTGAGTAAGCAAATTCGAACTAATTTTTATCTGTTTTTCAGGTCCTGCAATTGGCTCTTTTATGTTTAAAAAAACCAACAATAATAAACTTAATACTTAGAGGTTAGCTGCTTTTTCTAAGTGATCATCTATTCATAATATCTACAAGCCAGAAAGACTGAAGTACATACCAGCTAGAGAATGCTCGTGGAAGGAAACAGATCTGCTCTGGTTATTCAGGGATGTGCTGCTCTGAGACTTAATAGTAATTTATTTCATGTGAGAATTGGGTTGATTATCGGAGAAACACAACTCAGAAAGAACCATGAGACCCTTCTAGTAATGACATGCAGCTATTACCTTTATCCTTACCTTACCCCAAGCAATCGTAAGGGGGACCTCAATTGGTTTGCTCTTCGGACTGTATGTATCTCTGTATAGTGGCCCCTTTAGTACAAAAACCAGCCTTACTTGGCATGGTTTCTTTCTTTGGTTGATTTTTCTCTGTTGTGTTTGAGATCTTATGAGCCATAGCAACTGAGGTTCATTCTTTCTTCTTACAGAGATACTTTCCCAATTATGATTGAGACCCTTTTACAAAAGATGTTAGAATATGTAGTACTGCTGCTTCCTGCTGTTTTTGTGTGGCCAGAGAGTTTTAGTTTCATGATGTTGGTAGATAGTGGGCCAAAAATTGACATATGTTTACATAATGCATTATTTGCTAGCAGTTAAGTTCTAAATCTTTTATTTGTGAAAATTAAAATTTGTGTAACGTTTTCTCTCTAACTAAACATTGATATATACAGAATGTTTCGTTAATGCTTGTTACAAAACACAACTGTGAGAATATGTGATTTTGCAGCCTGGAACTAATGAAATTGTATTTATAAAAAAGTTACACCATTTGTCCTTGTATTGTCTCAAATATCATTATGAAATACTTGCAGAACTATTAGCTCTTTCTAGAAGTAATTTTATAGTTTATTAGTTAGTATCTATTGAGCAAAAGTTTGCACTAGCCATGGAAATTTTGTCTTTAAAAATCTTTTTTCAGTTAAAACAATAAATGATGTTAAAATAATAGATTGTTTATGCAGAAATGTAAAATAATAGGTTAATGTTACTTATTACATGTGCTTTTTTATATTAATATTGACATGCATTTGTTAAGTATACATAGATTACTTTTTAAAAAATATATATTTTATTGATTTTTTACAGAGAGGAAGAGAGAGGGATAGAGAGTCAGAAACATTGATGAGAGAGAATCATCGATCAGTTGCCTCCTGCACGACCCCCACCGGGGATGTGCCTGCAACCAAGGTACATGCCCCTGACCGGAATCGAACCCGGGACCCCTCAGTCCACAGGCCAACACTCCACCCACTGAGCCAAACTGGCTTCGACCACAGATTACTTTCTATATGCTCATATTACCTATTGGTAGAGGTAAAAGTAATTCAATGTAAGCTTTTAATATAAGAAACTTCAAACATATACATAAATAGAGCAGCATAATGAATCCACATTTAATGGTCATCATCCAAATACAGCAATCATTAATATTTTTCCATTCTGACACAATTTAATTTTCATTAAAGCTGCCAGAGTAAGCAAATAAAATTAATGGGTATGTTAATGAAATAGAAAATCATACTACAAAAATGATAGCTGTGTCATTTTTTTTAAATAGGGAGAGATACCAATGTACTGGCTTATATTAAAAGAAGATTGGCAATGTGTGCAAGAAAATTAGGAAGAATAAGAGAAGCAGTAAAAATAATGAGAGATGTAAGTGAATTTGATAACTGGACCTTCATATTCTTCAAAAAACTAAAAATGTGGTTTGAGTTGCCAGTTATTTTAATGTAGAATCATTGTTTTTTAATTGATAGTTTTTATGAAAAGATAATTATTGCTTAAGGATAGAGCCTCCACAGTTTTGTTAAGAAACAAAAGAATTTCTATTTCAGTGAATCTGACTCACTATGTTGAGTTTCTTTGCTGTAATCTTAATCTTTTCTTCCTTTTACTATACAGTTGATGAAAGAATTTCCTCCTCTTACCATGTGGAACATCCATGAAAATCTCCTAGAATCACTTTTAGAATTACAGGCCTATGCAGATGTTCAGGCAGTCCTAGCAAAATATGATGGTGAGTGATACTTGTTTTAGTTGATCACATGGTTTTTATTATCCTAAATAATAAAAGCCTAATATGCAAATTAACCAAAGGGTAGAACAACTGGTCACTGACCAGTTGTGCATTGACCACCAGGGGGCAGATGCTCAACACAGGAGCTGGCCCCAGCCCTCAAGCCCCAGGCCAGCCAAGGCTGGTGCCAGCAGGGGGGGCCCAAATAGCCCTGCCTGTTGCCCTGTGACCAGGCACAGGTGGGGGGGGCGGGGCTGGCTAATGGGCAGTGCTAGGCTGGCCAAGTTGGGTGCCAGTCACCTCACAGATTGACCCTGATTGCAGACCAGGCCAAGGAACCCTACCAGTGCAGGAATTTCGGGCCTGTGGTTATACTATAACAGTACAAATTTAACTGTTGGGAGCTGGGAAATGGAGTTGGGAGAATTTTACAAAGCATAGCCTTTCTCATTCTGAGTGAGTCATCAGCTTTTAAACCCAAGCTACATATATCCTAACTAGCATAATGCTTCTGATCATATCTTTCACTATAAGAGAACATACTAGTTTTATTCACACTTGTCCATTTGTAAGTTCCTTCCCATTAGCTTGGGAATCCCTATGACTTGGCAGATTTGAAATGTGTTACACTTGGAAAGAGAAGTTTATTTCTTTTAAACATCTGGAATTCTTAGGAACTGCTTCAGAATACTGTGGGCTCATGGAGAAATTTATGAGAAATTCTTTCCATATGTAACTGATCAGATACATGGCCTGCTTATGATGCTTATGATGAACAAGCTTAGGAATCAAATATAAAACAGCAGAAAAGTCCTGATTCATTAAATCTAAAATAAAACTCACAACTTAACAGTTTTTATAATTCTATATAATAAAAGCCTAATATGCAAATTGGATATGCTTCTGTGTTTTCAGTTATTTTTATGAGGCCCCGGTTTTTACCATTCTAGAATTGTGAAGTTTTAAAAGCAATTTAGGTTTTTGGTTCTTCATTTGCTGGAACATCTATAGTCTAAAACTTCAAAGGAATTCTGTTTGAATTTATACTCTCCTAATAATATTATTTTAGGCATTATTTTTTAATTTTAGTTGACATATGGTATTAAATTAGGTTCAGGTATATATCCTAGTGATTAGTATACCTTATGAGGTAATCAGCAGATGAGCCTAGTACCCATCTGACTTCATACATAGTTATTACACTATTATTGACTGCTAGAGGCCCTGTGCGTGAATTCATGCACGGTGGGGTGCGGCAGGCTGGTGGAGGTTAAGGGACACAGGAGGTTGGCCCGCCAGCTGGGGGGAGGGGCTGTGAATGGTTGGGAGGGCTGATCAGGGCCCAATTGGGCCAGTTGGCCATCGCAGTGCATGTCATAGTAACTGGTCATTCTGGTCATTTTGTTGATCTGTGCGTCTTTTTTGTGCCACCCAAGACCATACTGTTTTGATTATTATAGCTTTGTAATATAATTTGAATTTAGGTAGCATAATACCTCCAACTCTGTTATTTTTTCTCAAAGATTGCTTTGGCTATGTGTTTTTTGTATGATTCCACATAAATTTTAGGATTATTTGTTCTAGTTCTTTGAAAAAAATGCCATTCCATTGGTATTTTGATAGGGATTGCATTAAATCCATAGATTGCTTTGAGTGATACTGATTTTGACAATATTAATTCTTCCAATCCATAAGCTTGTATGTCCTTCCATTTATTTGTGTCTTCTTCAATTTCTTTCACCAATGTCTTACAGTTTTCATAGCAGAGATCTTTTATCTCTTTGGTTAAATTTATTTCTATGTATTTTTTTCTTAATATGTTTTTACTGATTTTTAGAGAAAGAGAAAGGGAAAGAGAATTAAAAACATCAGTGAGAGAGAAACGTCATCGATCAGCTGCCTTCTACATACCCGCCCTGGGGATCAAGCCTAAGCTCAGGCATGTGCTCTGCCCAGGCATCGAATCCTGACCTCCAGGTTCATGGGTCAGTGCTCAACCATTGAGCCATACTGGCCAGGCAGTATTTTATTCTTTTTGATGCAATTATAATTGGGGTTATGCTCTTAATTTTTCTTTCTGATAGTTTGTGACTAGTGTATAAAAATGCAATAGATTTCTGACTATTAATTTTGTATTCTCAGATTTTACTGACTTCATTTATTCTATAATAATATATTTCTGGTGGATTCTTTAGGGTATCATGTCATTTGCAAATAGTAACATTTTACATTTTCCTTTCCAATTTTCTTTTTATTTCTCTTTCTATCTGATTGCTGTGACTAGGATTTCCAATATTATGTTGAACTAGAGGCCCGATGCATGAAATTTGTGCAAGGGGCTCAGCCCTCACAGCTGTTGCGACTTGCCTTGGCCATCATAGCCCGGCTTCATTCAGAAGGTCATCCAGAAGGATGTCCGAAAGGTCATTTGGCTGTCTGGTCTAATTAGCATATTATATTTTAGCATATACTTTTATTATTATAGATAAGAGTAGTGAAAGTGGACATTTTTGTCTTATTCTTGATCTTAGAGGAATAAAAGCTTCTAACACTTTGTCACTGATTATGATGATAGCTGTAGTTTTCATAGATAGCCTTAATATTTGGAGGTGTGTTCCCTTTATCTCCACTTTGCTGAGAGTTTTTATCATAAATAGATGTTGAATCTTTTCAATGTTTTTTTTACATCTATTGATGTAATTAAATTATTTTTATCTTTCGTTTTGTTTGTGAAGTGTATCAAAATTTTCTATTTTGTGCATTCTTTAAGAAATGTTTATATAATTTATTATAGTTCCATATTAATCTTTTATTTTATAACAAATTATCATTTAAGAAAATGTAGAAAATATAAAATCATAGGAAGAAGAAAAAATTAAAATCACCCATGGTTGTATTACCTGGATTTAACTACTATTAAATATTTCTATTGTTTTTTGAATCTTAGTTTTCTCCCAAGACTCAGGTTTTCCAACTACATGTCCACATGCTTCTAGTACTAAATTGTATCTGTTGAATTTGTCCTTTGAATTATTTTTATTAAAAATTGTCTTTAGGTATTTTTGGTAATTCTTACTTAAATTGGAAATTATTATTACAGATATAAGCCTTCCAAAGTCAGCAGCAATCTGTTATACAGCAGCACTGTTGAAGACAAGGACTGTTTCAGATAAGTAAGTAGTTACTGGAACTACAATAATTTAGAAAGACTGTTGAACTCAGTATTATGTTTGCCATCCACTGACTTTGAGCAATGCTCGCTTTCCTTTCTACTTTCTTCTGAATAACCTTGATCTTAGGAGGCTCTGAGACTTTTTCTGTATTTCTTGCATTTGTGGCTGCCTTTAATGAATTCCACTTTATTTCACAAATCAGATGTCCAGAAACCAATCAAAGGTTGGTTACTTTAGATTACTACTTATATGAATTAGAATGGAGTATTCACAGTCTTTGCTTTTTGTGAAAATTTAATAAGAATATACTTCTGTTTTGGGAGATTCTCTGGATATCCCCATATAGCCTTTCATCTTTTATTCTTTTTTCCCAAAGTGTGCCTTCAGTGGTCCTCTTTTGTAGTCCTTCATTACCTAAATTTGAAGATTTCCATTTCTACGCTGCCTTTATTATATGTTGGACCAAGGCTTTAATTTGATGTTTAATAGTTATTTGGTTTTGTCTTTGATCATCACCAGAAATTCTTATTAGATTATGATCTAAATCCATATGTATTTTTTAAATATTCATTTCTTAATTTTGTGATTTTCTTACAGATTCTCTCCAGAAACAGCCTCCAGAAGAGGGTTAAGCACAGCGGAAATTAACGCTGTGGAAGCAATTCATAGAGCTGTGGAATTTAATCCTCATGTTCCAAAAGTGAGAAACTTTATGATAAAAATACTACTTTTATTTAAGTTTATCCAATTCAGGACAGTGTACAGACCTAAGTTTGGGTTTTTCGTCTTCATAATTTGAGTTGGAATTGTTTTAGTCTGCTATATTTTGATGCTTATTATTCACCTTAAAGGACTTGTTAAAAGTTGTTTAGAAAGATGGGTAGGAACAATAGTTCACTATAGGCTTTATAATTGCTGTCAAAATAGAATTTGAAATTCACTTAGCTGTTTCTTCTAGTATAGTTTTTAAAGAAGTAAAATGGCTTGGTCTTAATAAAAGATCATTCACTTTTTAGATCATTAAATCAAATTTTCTTTTACTGTGAAAGCTTTTTACATCTAAACAGATGCCTGGGTTTTGAACTATGGCTGAATAGACAAAGACTGAAAACAGATAGATTAAAATGATCAATGATAGGAAATAGATTGTGCAAGTTCCCAGAAAAACTGCTGAGTTGATGTTTATTTGGTCCCATCTCATTTGTCTTTATAATATGCACCGTGCAGACATACAGATTATTGGTGAATCTCTGTGTGTTATCACCCATAATTAAATTTTTGGTTTTAAAAACAATGTCCCATGTTAGGCAATATAGAATATTCAATAGATGTATTATGAGAAAATGTAAATTATAATGACTTATTTCAGTATAATGTATTAATATGTTGATAGAATTTGGAAGCTAATATTAAAGAGATTAATCTCTAAAAAGTCATCTCCAAGAAATGGAAATTGTAAATCTGTTAGAGTGAGTAAGGATAGAGTTAAGAAAACTACTGAAATCTAAGAATGAGAGTCAACAAATATTTATACTATTCTCTTACTAAGTGACACTGGTCCCATATATTTAAATAAAAATTTTATTATGAATTATAATACGCATACAGCAAGGTTTATGCACAGAAATGTGCATCTTAATGATTTATTATAAAGCAAATTGATGGAAACTACCTCCTAGTCAAGAAACATACTGCCAGACCCCAGAAGCCTACCTGACTGCTCTTCCCAATTACAACTTCCCTCTTACCTAAGGATACCCATTATTCTGACTTTATTATTATTATTCTGTGTTCATTTCCTTCTTAATTTAGTTTATACTTTTTGTTGTTGACTGTATAAAACAAGGAATGGTCACTCTTTTATTTATTCTGTGGAATAATTCGTGTAAATTAAAATTATTTCTGCCCTAGACAACTGATAGAATTAGGTGATAAAACCACCTTATTGAGAAGGATTTTTATTATAAATTTTATTTCTTTAGTTTAATTACAAATTCAGTTTTTTTAACCATTCCATTACTATTTAAATTTCTTATTTCTTTTTTTGTGTTGGTTTTGGTGAGTTGTATTTTTCTAGAAATTTACCTCATATTTTAAAAATTCATTGGCAGCCGAAACCGGTTTGGCTCAGTGGTAGAGCGTCGGTCTGTGGACTGAAAGGTCCCAGGTTCGATCCGGTCAAGGGCATGTACATTGGTTGCAGGCACATCCCTGGTAGGGGGTGTGCAAGAGGCAGCTGGTCGATGTTTCTCTTTCATCGATGTTTCTAGCTCTCTATCTCTCTCCCTTCCTCTCTGTAAAAAATCAATAAAATATATTTTTAAAAAATTCATTGGCATACATTTTTATAAAATTCTTTTATTACCATTTGGGGGATGAGTTATAATATCCACCTTTCTCTCTAACACTAGTTACCTATTTTTTTCCTTGACCTGATTCTCCAGGGATCTATCCATTTTATTAGGAGCACAGAACCGAACTCTGGCTTTTTATTTCTCTCTACTATTTGTTTTCTGGTTCATTTATTTCTGCTCTTTCTGACCTCCTTCAACTTTCTGTGGCCCTATTTTATTATTTTTTAATTTCCTGTATCTTCTTACACAGGTATTTAATTCATTAATATTTAGCATTTGTTCTTACTAATACATCTATTTAAGTCTCTAAACCTTTTCCTAAGCACATTCTAACTGCATACTTAGTAATATTTTTGTATAATTTAGTTCAAAATATTTTTTACATGTTTTATCACTTTATTAGGAATAATTTCAAATTGGTTATGAAGAAGACTTATTCATTTGAGTTTTATAAGTTTTCCAAAAAGTATTAATGAAGTTATGTTCACCAATAAACAATAAAACATCAGCAGAACTATCTTACCAGTATAGTTGGCAAAGAATAAAGCTGATACCAAAAGTAACATGCAATATAAGAGATACAGTATAAAGAAAGACAATCTGCTGGGTATTAAAAATCATCTCAAGCCCAGCTGGCGTGGCTCAGTGGTTGAATGTCGACCTATGAACCAGGAGGTCATGGTTCGATTCCCTGTCAGACCCCGCTGGTTCGAGTCCCCATCCGGGCCCACGTCCATGCAGGAGGCAGCCAATCAATGATTCTCTCTCACCATTGGTGTTTTTATCTCTTTCTCCCTCTCAATAAAAATGTATTTTTTAAAAATCATCTCAATATGAACTCTTTGCTACCAGCACAGAACTAATTAGCTCTCAAATCCAAACCATGCCCAGGTAAGCTTGGCTGATGGAAGCCAGGAGTCAGTAATGGGAGTAGAAAATAATAAATTCCCCAGTGCAACAGATCTCAGTTGTGTTTTGGAGTATTTCCCTGGCTAATACAAGCAGTATTAAAAAATCTTTTTGGGCCTTAGCCAGTTTGGCTCAGTGGCTAGAGCTTTGGCCTGTGGACTGAAGGGTCCCGGGTTCAATTCTGGTCAAGGGCACATGCCTGGATTGCAGGCTTGATCTCCAGTAGGGGGCATGCAGAAGCAGCCTATCAATGATTCTCTCTCATCTCTGATGTTTCTCTCTCTCTCCCTCTCTCCCTTCTCTGAAAATCAATAACATATTTTAAAAAATATATTTTTGACAAATGATATAAATAATAATTTTACTGAAGAAAACACATGAATAACTAATAGGCACATTAAAAGATACTAGGCATTATTGGCCATTGAGAAATACAAATTAAAACCACAATATGATATACTTGATACCCACTAGAATGCCCATATTATCAAAGACTGGCAATACTAATTGTTGGCAGGAATGTGGAGAAACTTCATACATTGCTGCTGTACATGTAAAATAGTGTGACTACTTTGGAAAACAGTTTTGCAGCTAAACATGTACTTGTTGACTCAGCAATTCCATTCGGTATCTACACAAGAACAATGAACACATATTTTTATACAAAGACTTGTATGCAATTGTTCATAGCAGTATTGTTCACAGGATCCAAAAATTTGAAATAATCCACACAGATGAATAAATAAATTAATTGTGATATATCCATAAAATAGAATACTTCTTAGCATTGAAAGGAACAAAATATAAATACATGCAACAATATAGATGAGCCTCAAATAAAGGAAATAAGACACAACATTGTATGATTCTATTTATATGCAATTCCTAGAACAGGTAAAACTGTGGAAACAAAAAGCAGATCAGTGGTTCCCTGGGACTGGCTGTGGGAGTGGGGATTGATTGCAAACAGGAACAAGGGAACTTTTTATGGTGATAGTTACATAACTGTATAAATTACTGAAAGTCATTGAACTATATATACACTTGAGTGGCCAGGTTATTATGATCTCTGAATGCATAATAATCTGGCCACTCAGTGTATATACTATATAACCCTATATAATAAAAGGCTAATATGCAAATTGTCCCCTCAACCAGGAGTTCCACCAGCAGGCAGGCCAGCCAGCCAACCGCCCATGTCCCCTCGCCCTGGCCAGGCTGGCCGGATCCCACCCATGCATGAATTCATGCACCGGGCCTCTAATACACACACACACACACACACTCACTGAGTGGCCAGATTATTATCTCTGAACGCATAATAATCTGGCCACTCAGTGTATATACTTACATGGTGATCTTGTTATATATAAAGTATACCTCAATAAAATTGTTTCATATATATATATATATATATACACACACACACACACACACACACACACATATACACACACACACATATATATAATAATTGTCTATATTTTAAAGTATGTAATGTGTATGTAATTTAAAATCATTTTTAAAAAAATATATTTTATTGATTTTTTTACAGAGAGGAAGGGAGAGAGAGAACTAGAAATGTCGATGAGAGCGAAACATCGACCAGCTGCCTCTTGTACACCCCCAACCGGGGATGTGCCCGCAACCAATGTACATGCCCTTGACCGGAATCGAACCCGGGACCTTTCAGTCCGCAGACCGACGCTCCACCACTGAGCCAAACCGGCTTCGGCTAAAATCATTTTTATTTATAGGTAGAAATTTACCTATTTACGCCTCCCCCCGACTTTTTATCATAGCCAGTTGACAATTAAAATATCCAGCTAAGTATAATGTTACATTATTGTTTGTGGATAGACATTTTAAGCAGGGTGTTATCGAACAGGATAATATCGCACTTAAATAACACTAGTGTTATATGAACTGGGAGAGCTCTGGAATTTGTGGCTGTCTGTGTTTGTTAGGATTTTACAAGTGATGAAGTATGTAAAGGTTCTCTCCCCGCCCCACTCCCACCCCTCATGGTCTCTATTCCTAACTCCCAGCTACAGCCAAACAAACATAAAGGCTTTATGGGTTTTATCTTCAAACTTCCACTGTGGGCTGTAATTTATTTAACTTACCAAAGAGTGACATTTAAATATATATATTAAATCTTTTAATCTTACAAATTATGCAAATTTGTCAAATGTTCTATGAATCTTAGCAGTAAAATGACAAAGGATAAAGCTATTTTAGCAGGAAACATTTTTTGGCAACTTTCCACATAACTACAACAGAAAGGCTGTAGGTCTAGAGCTATGCAATTTGTTAAAGCTGGAAACTATTAGATGTGCAATAGAGAAAGATCACATAAATCTCTTCAGACTATGAATTTGCTTTAGATATTTCATTAATATTGATTGCCTGTACAGATTTTTTTAATCTACTGAAT